CTAGTATCAATTTTACTACTTTTTTTTTTTTTTTTAAGTTGGGGGAAAGAGAGTTAAGTAAATCGACTGCAAAGGAATGTCCTTTTTATATTAAAATATAGTGAGCTTTAACGGTCATTGCCCCTCCCCAACTCTTCCTGGCTTCAATGTGAAGGTCACAGTGTAAATGTCAATGTCTCAGGGAGGAGTTCCCCGAGCATCCTATACGATACCACAGGCTCCTGCACCTTATTATTCTCTCTCAGCCCCTTATAATTAGCCTCCTGCTAGAATGTAAGGTCCTCCTCAGCAAGATCTGCCTCACCACCGTCTCCCTCAGCCGGCACCTCACCACCGTCTCCCTCAGGTCAGCACATGGCAGCACACAATGTGTGAATGCACAACACAGCTACAAATACATTATGGATAAATACACACATTTTTCACGAATTCTGAAGAAAAACTGAGAGAACGCAATGACGTCACCGTTGGCTGTGCGTCCCTCAGACACGAACCCTGCACCTGTGGTAGATGCTCACCACGCCTCTCTGCTCCTGACAGTGCTGCAGGGAGTGCTGGAGAAGTCCCAGGCTAGACTGTGTCTTTGGTGACAGCCTAGGGGTCTTGTGAAAACACAGAAAATTAGCAAGCAGAAGGTGGTCTATGACTCTAAACAGAGATGCTAAGAGGGAGTCCACTTGACAAAGCTAACATTTATGTTTCAAATTCTAAGTGAAAATTTTTAAGGGGAAGTAGGAATGAATATCGTAAGTTTTATTCACAACATTGTAAGAACTTTTCAAGAGGAAAAGTTTTGCCTTTCACATGAAAAGGAGAGAATGGACAGGGGTAAAAAAAAAAAAAAAAAAAAAAAAAAAAAAAAAAGAAAAAAAGAAAAGAAAGAAAGAAAAAAAAAAGAAAGAAAAGATGCTTCTGGTTCAACTTTGCAGCAGATAATAAACATCCCCATTTCATAATGACAACTAACACTGAAACAGAGCGGGCAGAAAACGATGCTACTCAGAATATCCCACTTTGAAGCTTCTCTCATTTGTAGATGAAGAGACACCTATGCAGTATTTCTGCAGCCATGTGGGAACTGAAATTGGATCTGCTTCAGTTTCTCAAGTGTCTGTCATATCCAGCCTCATGCTTCAGCAGGCTGGTAAGGGTTGCTGGAAAACAGCATTTTTAAACAACAAAATACTAAGAAGCTCAGAAGGTCACCGATTGTGAGGATGAACTTGACAAAGGGAAAACTTGATGAAATAAGGCCTTTCCCCACTAAATAAAAGGTCAGTATATTTTACCAGCTAAAGCAGGGGACTTGACAGGCTACTTTTCATTATGTCAAAAACACACCCACCCAACTGTTAAAATTAGTAAAGAGGTTTCAGCTAATTCTTCTAAAATTGGATTCTCCATTTACATTTTTTTTCTTAAACTGTGGGGACTTGCTGCCAGCACAGGTAGATTCCAAATGTCAAGTAGGTCAGTAATAAAATGCAAAGCTGGAGAGAGACTTTAAAAGAGACATTTAAAAAATGGGCCTTAGCAGAGAACTGACTGGAACATGCTGTGAAAAGCTTACTACAGTTCAGTACATTAATATTAATAGAGAAAACCCTGCAGTGTTCATAAATAGTTGTGACTTGATGAAATAATTACAAATAATGCAAGTTAAAATCTTAGAACAACTACAAGTGTCTATAATGATATTCTTCCCCCAAAAAGCAAAAATATTTTAAAACCCTGTGGGTTTCCATTGACAAAGCTATTTACCTGAACAAAGAAGAATTCTTTGCTCAAATATCTATCACCTTCTGATTTTTCTTTTTACAAATGAAAACTGGGGAGAGAGTGCCAGAGGGAAGGGCAACAGAGTATTTAAACATTGGGAGAACCATGAGGCCTACATCTTGATTTAATAATGAAAAAGTTTTCAATTTTTCCTTATTATGAAAAGGAGAGTTATCAGTCTGGCAAAAAGATGAAGTTAGAAGTTCACTGTCGGCCTGTCGAAGGCTTTCTGAAATCTGTCCTAATGCAACTAACCCCTAACAAACAAATAGTGTGAGAACTGGCAACTCCCCACGGCACACGTGTGATCTCCAGTGGTCTGTCTCCTCTCTCACTGACATTCAGAAAGGACAGCTCAGAGACCAGTGCTTTTCTGAGTGCAAACAGGTGAAGGCTGTCAGAAGAGAGGGCTGAGCCCTCTAACGTAGGGATGCCAGGCACTTTCTTACAAAGATGGAGAAGGTCATTGTGCGAGAGGCTTAGGAAGTCCCGAGGAGGGTGGCTAACCTGACATCTGCCACCAAGTTCATAACTAAGTTCATGTGTCATAATGGGTAAGTAATAAGTACTTCCCAGCCAACTGTGAACATTAGCATAATTTTTTCCTATTTTTTAAGTAAATGTATTTGTGTTTGCCTCTCTGACAAGATTTTTGTCTTTTCATTAATCACCCTCCAAAACAGGCCCACTCCACAATACGAAGTTCAAAAATACAAAATACACCCTGCTTTTCCCAAATTGATGTTAAGTAAATTTCTTGGCCAAACTGTGGATCCTTCTATTTCATGAGACCGAACTTAATAAAGCAATAGAAAGAGCTTCTTATTTTTAAAAAGCTTTCTGGATGAAGAAAACGGACAGTAATTTATGTAAATGCACCAATCTCAATCAACTTCCCTTGTATGAAAGGAATAAATAATGCAGGTCACTGTTTTTCGGATAACGAGTCCTAACTCTTGGCCAAGGATATGGCCAAGACTCTGACGGAAATATCAGGGGCGTGCATATGGAGGTGACCATAAATAAATGTGTGTGTGATAAACGTGGCTGCTGGGGATAGACGGAAAAAAATAGATATCCAGTTGGACAGAGATGGCTGCGACAGAGGGATAGCAGTATCTCAGGAAGTTCACAGAGGTTTCATGGTCTATCTGTGACAGCACAATTTCTATTAAGAAGGTTTAAAAAATTAGTCCTACCTCCTCTTGGATTAATTCACAGTAATGCTATCTTAGACTGTAAGAGATCTGTCACAAAATACAGTGCTATGTAAAAAAATTTTCAGGAATTAAAAAAAGAGAAAAAACAAGGACCCTAAAGGAAGATGAGTGATTAATAACTTTAAATATCTGGGGCTGTTTAAATGCTACTAGATTGGCAACTATAACTCCAAAGTAGCTACATTCCCCTGGGAAGGGGAGGGTATGCCTCTTCAATCATCCCTAAATGCAAAGAGGTTTGACCCCCATGCAACGGATAAAAGTCACCCAAAAACTGAACAAAAGAGGTGTTTGGAAAAACCAGGACACCATTCATCCCAGCTAACGACTTGTTCATTATGAGTGATGATGGATAAAGACTTCTCATGCTGAGATGAAATCAAGATTTATATGCATTGTTTCCTCTCCCAACTTGTGGGAAGATCATCATCATTTAATTCTATCTCTGCGGCCAGTGATGGGCATCCAGAGAGCTGGTTATCAAACGGCGCAGTCAGCTGGCAAAAGCCGAAACGTGCAGTTGGCACATCTGGACAGAGCCGCCACAGCCGAGGGTGAACAATGACTCCTGGCAAGCATCCAAATTGCTTGCAGACACTAGCAGGTCTCATCTACAACCGCCCCTACCAGCATCTCTCTCTCTCTCTCTTTTATGAGAATCAGATTTTCATTGCTCCATTCAATTGCTCTCCTCTGCCATTTTTTACAGCTCTTATCGTTCCCCTGGAATATGGCCTTGAGACAGCTCATCCGTGTCCTTCACTGTGTTATCTCTCCTAACTTTTATTAAAACTTCAGCTTTCATCTAAAGATAGCTAATTAAGTCTGGAACAGATTATATGCCTTTAAAAGAACACAAGACTATTTTCTTTAACCTGAACAATGATGTTTTTCCTTTCCACAAGATGAAACCAAAGGTGTTTAAGAAGTTTCATTTACTTACAAAGCTAAGACACCTGACAGGTCATATGTAGGCTGATTTATATTAAAAGATATCTGTGGTCTGACAAATCTTTGAGCTATTTTTCAAAATAATCCTTTCTCTATATTGGTAATATTTCACCCCCCCATATCCTTTAAATACCATAGCTAATGCCATAAGCTTAATTTCTGTATGAAGTTGGGAAATGAGAAATTAGAGATTAACAGACATTTCTGTGAATCAAGTGATTTAGCTTAAAAAAATTTTTTTTGCAATTGTCCTTATTTGGTAAAAATGAATTTTTCCCTTTTATTTCATACTGCAAGCACTGCAAATTAAGAGTTTTTCCCACTGAAAGGTATGTGAAAACGAGAAATTAAAAGAAATACTGCAAATTTAGGAATGATTTGGTTTTCAAGACCGTTTTTCACCAATTAATAGTAAGCTCAAATAGCTTAGTCTTCATCTATCAGAAATCATTAATGACAAAGCTTCATAACCGATATGAACACATCCTTCTCACATATGCCACTGACCCAGTACCTTCTTTAGACTTAGGGGCAATTTAAAAATCACTGTGGGGGCTCCAGTGGCGCAATCGGTTAGCGTGCGGTACTTATAAAAATCACTGTGTTGCCCTAGCCCAAGCATGCGAGTTTAACATGCTTGTGCCGGTTTGGCTCAGTGGATAGAATGTTGACCTGCGGACTGAAGTGTCCCCGGTTTATTCTGGTCAAGGGCATGTACCTTGGTTGCAGATTCAACCCCCTGCCCTTGTCAGGGTGCATGTGAAAGGCAACCAATTGATTGTCTCTCCCCCTTCTTTTCACTCTCTCTAAAAAATCAATGGAAAAATATCCTTCAGTGAGAATGAAGCAAATAAATAAGTAAGTAAGTCAGTCACTTTACTTACTGTAGACCTGCTAAACAAACTTTCTAGCAGCAATATCTGGAACATCTAGATGCAAGCCATCACACACATGCACATATGCACATGCAAGCACACACATGCACACACCAAGCAATTTTTAACCAAGGTTTTAAACTGATACCACCAGGGTATAATTTAACTATGCTACCTGAAATTTTCTGAGATCCTTTTCTTCTCTTCACTGCCTTGAGCAAGATTTCTCTCATGGTGACCTTTGGGTTGTCCACCTGAATGAGGGAGAATCCGTGAGCAGCGTTTCTGTAGGAAAAGACAAATATGAAATCATCACCAACACTCAGCCGGAGAGATGGTACTGCAGTCTTCACTGTGTTTAAGAAAGTTTTAATAAGTGCACATCAAAGGGCCAATTATTTAAAAACAGGCTGAAAAAAGCTACTTCTCATAAGAGAGAGACAGAGACAGAAAAGCATTCCAGTATGAACAATCCCAAGTGGAAGAGAGGTGAGAGTTATGGAAGGTTTTTCTAATTTATCTCAAATTGAATCTAATTGGTCTGTGTGGGTCACTCATACCGGCTCCCAAGTCAAATCCTGCAGCAAGGATTGACAAACGATAAACTTGGCTTGTGTCAGTAGATGTCACTGCAGGCAGACACCGACTGCCATCATATTAAAGCTCATGGAGCCTTGGAGGAAAAATGCCATGTATGTGTTTGTGTGTATGGGGGCGGGGGCATCTGACGGCCCAAAGCAATTTAGAATAAGGAAAAGAAAACGCTCTTCTTAACTAGCCAGTATAAGAAACACCCGATATTTATATTTTTAAAAAACAGATACTCTACGTACACTTCAGTAGGGATGTTTTAATCTACCTACTCCTAAAAGGTCGAACAAAATATTAGCTGAAGCATAAACAATTACAAGGCAAAATACTAACACATCACTACTAGTAAGCCTGTAGCCAATCAAACCTCAGGGGGTGGGGATGGGGTTCCCATGTAGATAGGAAAAAACTGGTGAGGAACAAGCATCCTGAAAACAGAAGACCACCTTTATTGAGACACAACTTCGCTAAGATGGTAATTGCAACAGCAAGCATCACAAACACTCCTCACTACGCTTGGGCACCGGGACAACGCGGGCCCATTCCAAGAAGCTCGTGTAACGAATGGGACCCAAGTTTCTGACTACGGAACACGGGAATTGCCACAAGGAGTCTGGTTGCCTTCCCATTCCCCACAAGAATCTCACGGGGGCACGTGGCCAAAAAACATGGCAGAACTTCCTATTGACAAGGAATGGGAAACAGAAGCCAAGCCCCAAGCTCGGCCCGGGGACAGCTTCCCGGTGGCAGGGCAGGCTGGGAGGCGCCTCAGCCCTCGCTTGGACCCAACCAGGTGGCTGGCTAGCCACAGGGGCTAGGGGCTGGTCTCCAAACCAAGGACCCGATTTGCTTCCCTAATACAAAGACATCTCCGCACCCCTCCTGCTCCGCACGGCGTGCTGTTTGATCCCTGACATTCCATTTGTTAAAAAGCAAAAGCCGACGCGGGCCTCTCCGGCGCGATCATCCATTTTAACTTGGTCAAGTTCTTGCTATCGAACAGCAGGCCTGAGAACTGTCAGGCTAATTTTCCTGAACACTCTGTTACTGAATCATGCCTGAGCCGGGGCCATTCTTTACCTCAGAAGCTGGACCCCATCCCAGAACAATCTTTAAAAGTTTATTTTACTGATCAAAGCAAAATAAGAAATAGCTCTTTTCTCAAAACTATATTTAGGGAGCGATGCAGTAAGTGATACTTTGGCAGGAGTACTGAGATGGAAAGTGCCTTGTGCATTTAGAAACTTGGGGGTATTTGCTCTGGCGCCGGGCCAGCGTGTGTTTGGAACGAATGCCAATCATCCGGCGTTCAGACTTGCTTCCCCGGCTCCCTCCTCCCGAGCCAGGGAGTGCTCCATCTGTGACAATATGCCGGGCGATGGATGAGCTGGGCCTAGGAGGGAACACACATTCTCGGGTGCTCGTTCACAGGACTGGGCTGAGCCTCACGAACTCCCATCCGCCTGGGTTCCACCTGAACTCTTTTAGATGTGTCTGCTTATACACTGCTAACACTCTCTCCTAATCTGCCGCTGGCTGATACCATTATTTCACACCAATATGTTTATGTTTCTCGGCACAGGCGGACTAAAAGCTCAAAAGGAAGCCCTGTGTTTGGACGAACTTCCATAAATTAAAAGTGTCCTTTTAAAAGATCTTTTGAGCCGGGGCCTGCATGGGTTGGGGGGGGGGGGGGGGGGGGGGAGGAAATCCCTAGTCTGTATTTTTCTGTCGTTTTACCAAAACGTACCTGGGTGACAAGGTTAAAGCCAGCCGAGGAAATCCCTGGCACTTATCATCCGCAGGCATTACTGATAAATCGCGCGGTGGAGGAATAAAGGATTACCTTCTGTATTTTTTCATTACACTTTTCTTTTGTTACAGAATACATAAATCCATTGTGGCACAATGTAATATGTATCACCGTGCTACACCTGCGGACGCTTCCGAGCGGCTGCCATGTCTGTGCAGTCAGGAATGATAAGTGAACCACCCGTGAATGTTAACGATAGTGATCATTCTGAGGTAACTCGGCTCTCCATCTTCCTTTACAGCCTCCGTGCTGAAGCCAGGGTAGCAGGGTTCACGGGAGGAAAATGAAAACAACGGCGAAGGGAAGGGGCACGCACGGCTCGCCATGTGCCTTCTCCGGGGCTCCACTGCGGTAACCGCGCCCGTTATCGGGGAGCGGGGCTGTGACCCTCCCCTGCACGATCGGCGGGCCGGATGCGTTTCCCCGGGTCAGCCTCGCACCCCACGCTTCCCTCCTGCAGAGGGTGCCAGCTTTGGACCTTGCTCCAGGTCTGCAGCACGGACGGGGGTAACATGTTTCTAACACACAAGGGTACAGAACGGAAGTGGCTTTCAGAACCCATGCAAGTGCAACTGCAACTGCTAAGTCCCGCTCCCATTGAATAAATGGATACGGAGACTCGCCACCACATTTTCAGCTTGGCTTCCAAACATTCGGAGTTTTATGCCCCATTTCTTCACATCCAGGGTTTTTTATGGGCTTTCTAAAAAGTCTATTGAAAAAGTCTATTTCTAAGGCTGCTTTTATTCCATGCTGAGTCCTGGGCCTGGGACTGAGAAGGCCAGGATCTTGGGGAAGTGCTAGTGGCAGGTGGGGCGGGTGCTAGTCTTGCCTCCCTTCCTCATGGCGCTGCATGCCAGTCAGGGAGTTGGGACCTGGGACGGCGGAGGCCAGCCCACAGATGGACAGGCGGACGATGGACAGGCAGGTGGGCCGCAAACCCAGAGTCTCGACTCGGAAACTGCTCCTCCTCCTGCTCCTCCTGCGGTTGGCGGCCTGTTTTCTGCCAGCGCAGGGCACCCTAGGGCCCGGCCGGGGAGAAGCGGCGGCCCTGCCGCGGCTCCTTGGGCCGCTGCGCTGGGTGCAGACGGAAGCGCCACTTCAGGGAGCTGACTAAACGGCCAGGAGCGCTTCAGTCAATTCAAAGTTAGGTCCTGTCAAGTCTCGTAACCGCTGAGAAACGTATGGGCGTTTTAAAAAGAGATTTCTCACTTGAGGAATTCAGCGCTGTCCCAGAGCAAAGGCAGTTACCAGCAGGAAGTGTTTATACCAGCATTAACCTAACACAACACGATTTCTCTGCTAAGTGCTAAAGTGGAAGTGATGGGGCACAGAGGGGAAGCAGGGGCACGGGCCTTTATCTGAAAAGCTTATTCACAGGGAGAGCTGGAACCAGGACCCAAGCTGGAAGGCAACGTATTAGAGAGGAGACACATGGGCTGGGAGTTAAGTCCCTTTGGTTCAGATCCCGGTCCGTGGCTAACCAATATGGCTGCACCATGTGGGACCTCAGCTGCAGCCAGGAAACGAGGAGGGCACTTCCCCCCAGAACTGTCAGGAGGATAAAGCGGTCAGTGAACGCCAAGCACCTGGCACTGAGGCTGGCAAATAGTAAAGGGAGTTTAAAAATGTGTTTTCTCATGTTCCCCTTGTCCCAAGTCACCACTCGGAGAGAAGAGGCCCACTTGTCCCCTGTCCCCTAGCCCCTCAGGAGAGATTGCTTATCTGGGAAAAGGGATCTGAGCCCTCACAGTTTTATGTTGTTGTTGTTGTTGTTGTTTTGTCTATTTATTTTTTAGTTGGTTTTAGGGAGTGGGAACGAGAAACAATGGATCATTTGCTTCATGCATGCCTCCACTGGGAATAGAACCCACTATGTGGGTATGTGCCCTGACTGGAAAGCGAACCCGTGACCTTTCAGTGTGTGGATGACGCTCCAACCAACTGAGCCACACTGGCCAGGGAAACCCTCACAGCTTTTTGATGGGCAACACAGGGCCATTAAAATGTGCAATTCGCTGGGCATGGTGGCAACATGCAGGGGCACTGGCAGCAAGCAGCCTCTCTCTGGCCCAGCATCAAAACCCCCTTGAAGCTCAAAGGAGAGCACTCGGGGCTCCATGGTCCAAGTTTTCCTTTTTGAGAGCGGAAACGAGAAGCAGGGGTGTCCCACCTCAGCTGAACTCATTGGCTTTGGATGGAGATGAGGGAAGTAAAATATCATGGTGGGACTGCAGAGAAATTCAATGAGACTAAGAGCCTTTTAATCTGAAAAGCGCAAGACATTATTCAATAATTATAATAATAATAGCAGCAGCTACTATCTATTGAACAATTACCATGTGCCAGATGCTGTATTAGGCTTTAAAATTTTACATTAACTAATATACTCCTAAAATAGGTAATATTATTATATCCATTTTATAGAAGCTAAGGCTGGAGGCATTAGGAAAGTTACCTGTGGTCACTCATCTATTAAAGACCCTATTTTGGATTCAGAAATCAACAATATGATTCCCAACACAACTAACACAGTCTAGTGGGAGAGAGAAAGAAGCAAACCAAGAGTTGTAGTTCTGTGTGATGAGCACAAAGATGGAAGCCAGCTCAGAGAAGTGTGAAAGCACAGGAGCACTTGACCCAGCAGGTAGAGGTGAGGGGGTCAGAGAAGCTTCTTAGTGGAAATGTCTCAAAACACAGTCATCATTTAGCTCTACGCCATGCTCAGAAAGATGGTTTACCAGGAGGCAGTGAAGTAAGCTCTACAACGGAGCCTGCTATGGAGTCCTAGCTCTGCCTTCCTTGGGTAAATGATATAATCTAACTTTCAGTTTCCTCACCTACAAAACATATTAATTTTAGACTGTAAGACTGGTGTTAG